CCTGGCACCAGCACTTTTAAAAGTTTTCACACATGATCTAGAGTTAGGGATTGGCAGAAAGATGACCAAAGTTGCTCTCAAATTATTGAGGCTAGTTAGGACACAAAGGAATAATAAAGAATTTTAGAGTGGACCATGAATAGCAAATGTTAGTTATTTGTTGCACATATCTCCCCAGAAGTAAGATGCTGAGGCATTCAGTGGCACTTATTCCCAGATTAAGTGTATGCTGTCATTACTAATGTGTTGCTGATTACTTGCAATGAAAGAGTGTTGCACATTTTTCTGGAAATACCATAATAGGACGAATACAAGTGAAACATTACTAGTCAGCACAGTACTATTACTGTCCCTGCTAGTATCAGTGCAAAGATGCTTATATTCAATTTCTTCTTGAAACACTGTAAGGCAGATAGCAACACAAATTCAAGCCATAACTGCTTAAGAATTTGTGTATGTGTGTGTGTGTCACTTCTATCACAGCAGTGTGTATGTTTCTATCAGTTATTTACTCGGCAAGAGAATTTGTTTCTGGCTGTCCAGGGAACCAGAAGCTGTGCATGAAATGTAACATGGCATGATATTGCTTTGGCTACCAAGCTTGTCAGATGAGGAAGACCATAAGGTCAACACAATAGTTGTTCAAAGCGTAACCTTGCAGTCCACTGATCTGCAGACCACAGTGCAGAAGGATAATCTGCAGGCAAGTTAGGGCAGCTTATATATGCTGCGGCACCACTCCAAGGATAAGGATTTTCCGCACAGAAGCTCCTTTCTTCTGGCTGTGCCAACACAACAAAGGCAGCAACACAAAAAGCTTTACACTTTAAGTTTAAAAATAGAAAAGAAAATAGTTCTTTCTGAATCAGTATTTTAGCCCTATTTTACCTTTTAGATTCAGAGCTAGGTTGCCAAGTACAAATACAAAAGCACCACACTGAATATAAAAAAGAAAATGCATATCATTTGGAGTATGCTCAAGAGGTAACAGTAAGGAAGGTATCCGCGTCTCAAAGTAAAAACAGCGAAGTTTGAACAAAATCTTATACCACATAGACTTTGAAGAGAGGGCAGTTATTTCAGAGGATGGGAGAAGCATGTGTAATTTAATTTCTTTTAAAGTTGAAACATTTTAAGCCGACCTTCAGCCTTTAACTGATTGGGGAGTAGGATTTTTTATGAGGTGTACAGTGTCTTTTACTATGCTTTGAATTTGTTTTTAACTGTTTTAAATTAATGGTTTAGCTGGATTTGTATCATATATTGTTTTAGCTATGTTTGTTTTTAACTTATATTCTAAGCCACCTTAGATCTCCTATTAGGAGAAAAATTCAATATTGAATTATTGAATATTTCAATAAAATATAATAAATAATAAAATAAATGGTGTATACTCAAACAAAGATTGCTCACTCCTGGGGAAGACTGATGGGCCATCCAAATATTAGGTTGAAATTCATTCCTTGCCATTAAATAATAATAATAATAATAATAATAATAATAATAATAACATTATATTCCGCACCTATCTCCCCAAGGGGACTCAGGGCGGTTGGCTATGCTGGCTACTGTTGGGAATTGAAGCCCACTGATATCTGTGTGTGACACACATATTTCACATCCCTAAACTATTCAGTAGCTTAACGAAAAGAAGGAGTTGGTCTCTGTACATTGCTTGGCCCATCAATAACCAAGTAGCTTAGTAGCAAGAGTGAAAGAAAATGTGAAACTTTTTTCATCAACTTGTTTGACCCAATTACCATCCAGTCCCTCCTTCTTTGGACTCCAGCAGCAGTCATCGCTTTTGTGTGGGGTAAAAAGCAGAAGAGGCCTTTAATTGGCTTGTTTTGGCATTAACCTTGGGGGGGGGGGGAGTGCTAGATGAAAAGCTTTCAACTATATTTCTTCCTTCACGTGTTGTGGGCTGGGGGTAGGGGGCAAAGGGGAGCTTTGTACCTCCAAATGAGAATGCTGCTTCCCCAATGAATTTTTTTCAGTCCCCAATTTTTTAAAAACTGGAGAGAGTGAGATGCCGAGAATCTTCCACACCTACAACAGTTACTCTTGCAGTGTTTCCATTGTCTAGGTAATTTTGCCTGTTTCCCTCCCCCCGCCCCCATCCCTTTGGATGCATAAACTCTATTTCTAAATGCTGAACTGTGCTTTATGTTACTGCAGTGCTAGAAATTTGGGAACTGAAAAGACATTTCATCAGTGGGTAGAATTCTTATTTGGGGGTAGTGCACTCCATCTTCCTCCTTCCATAGCTATCCTGACATGCTGCGTCTTTAATTTTAGAATGTAAATTTGGGGCTATGTCATTGCAGTTTTTTGCACAATACCTGCAACTTTTAGGTGCAGCTCCTAAACTTTGCGTGGGAACTAATTAGCAGACATCAGTATTCTTCTTGTATAATATTTCTACATTATTTCAAAAAAACCAACAAGGAGTGTCTTGTAGAAGAGCTCCTCTGTCTTGAAATAGAAAGTTGTCCTTCAATGGGATTTTCAGATCTCACGTATGGTTCTGGCTAAAACTGAAATGGTAAACATATACCCTAGGATGTAATCATTGTTCGCATTGCATAATACTTCTTATTTCTCACAGATGTATGAAGATCCCAAAACACCTGTTGGGTAGAACATTTTGCAATATCACAGAAGGAGGAATTAAGACATGCCTAGTGGTTCTGAAAGCAGGAGTCAAAGAATGAACATGAAATACACAAAACAATGACAGGTGAGAATAGTGAGTGCTGAAAGCTAACATTTTAAATTTGCCATCTTTAAAATGGTACACCATAGTGATAGATTTTATACTTTGTAATTTGGAACAGGGAAAACATCATAGGATATAATCCGGTAGGTACTAAAGTGTAATACAAATTTCCCAAGGAAACTGCATTGCAAGACAAGACTAATTATATTTTCTGTGTCTATTTGACTTGCTTCTTTAGCTACCTGAGCAGTTGTGATGCAGGCTATGTAGAAACATGCAATTCTACATGCCATTTTCTCTTTTGCCATAATGCAGCTTGTACTGAAGATCAATCCTGACAAGACAGAGGTCCTCCAGGTCAGTCGTATGCCTGACTGGGGTACTGGGTGGCAACCTGTACTGGATGGGTTTGCACTCCCCCTGAAGGTGCAGGTCCACAGCTTGGGGGTCCTCCTGGACTCAGCGCTGACATTGGCCCGAGTCCCCTTTGGGGAGATGGTGGCAGGTTATAAATAAAGTTGACTACTACTACTACTACTACCTGGGTTACTTTGAAAGCTATTTCAAAAATAATTTCTTTTCCTTAGGAGCCAGGGCTGAAAAAGGTGGTCTGGAGGGCTGAAAGACTGTGCCTTGGATTGAATTTTGCTCACCTTGCACTACAATGAAAGGCAAGCAGTCTCCTCCAAGTTTACAGTCAGAAGAAGCTGCTCAAAATTGCCTTTTAACTCATAGTAACAAATAGTCATTGAGTGAGTCCATTTTATGTCTTACTACTGTATAGGATTTGCTTGTCGTCATATTCCATTAAGTGGACTCCAATATATGACAAACCTCTCTTCATGGCAGTCAATGAAAGTTTTCTATTGCCTTCCTCTGAGGCTGAGAAAGAGTGAATTGTTTAAGGTCACTTACTAGATCTTGATGTCTGAATGGGTAATGAAACACTGTTTTCCCAGAGTCCTTGTCTAGCACTCAAACTACTACATCATACTGGCTTTGTTTCTGGAAGGTGAGGTTTAGTATCATTAGGAGAATTTATGAATTCTAATGGCAAGTCTTGGTCTCAGTTCTGCCCAGCAACCCTGGAGACTTGTCCCCTACATCTTATGAATCACAGTGATACTGAGCAGGAGCTACTGTACCTCTTTGAAGAGGAATAGACAAAAAGAAACACTTATGGCTCCCTTTGGTACATATGATGAGCATGGACTGGCTCATAACTGTGGCTGCTACTGTTATGACCTTATCATATGGTGCTAGATTTGGCAACAAATGGTGATCTAGCCCTGGTCACCCACGAAGCCAGCTGGGAGGCTTCCTGTGTTGCTATTCTATCAATGGGGGAAGCTTCACATTCCATGCTTCCCCTATGTGCAGAGCTGCCGAGGGAGCCCAGCAAAGCGGGGCATGTGGCCTGGCAATGAACCAGAGCACCACTGGGAGCCATCGCCAAAGTGGTAGTGGTAGTAAGTAGTGAGGATCAGGACTGCTCAAAGGCATGATGCTGCTTGACATGAAGAGGCAATGGTACTGCCTTCCTATTCAACCCTTTCTTTCTCCTCCCAGCATATTTTGCCTGAGGTAGCATTCTCACTCCACCTAATGGTATGACCACCCCTTTCTAGGGAATGCTGCTATTATCCACAGGCATGACTTACAGCTCCTCAACAGTGGACTGAACAGAGACAGTGGTTTCCTGGCACACTGCACATATTATTACATTAGCTAACACCAGATTCACAAGATGTCCCCTTGACTACTTATCATGTCTCCTTTCTGGTTCCCAGTCAGCATGACAATTCCAACAACTCCCTACATTATTTATATGGTTATCTATTCTCTGTGGCTTTAGGAAACATCTTTTCTTTTGTCTTTGTCCCCCAATAACAATGGTTAAAATTGAACTTGTCACTTCATCACCATGCCCACAAGTTTTACATTTTTATGACTATCCACACACACAGTCTRCTTCTAAAASTATGTTCCTAGGCACTTCATTTCCTTTGTATGAGGAAGTAGTAGAGTGTCTACAAAGRCTTATGCTATCAGCTTCATTCTTTTAGTAAGGTGCACAAAAACTCTTAGCAAGCATGGGTAAACTTCGGCCAGTTTACTAGCTGTTAGGATTTGTGGGAGTTGAAGTCTAAAACACTGGGGGGGGGGGGGAGTTTGCTCTATAGCACAGAAAATGCTATTGATGGAACCTGCAGCCAAAGCTGTTTTCCAGTATTTAAAGCCAAGTTGCCCCAACCCACAAAATAACAATTGGCAAGCCTCATTTATACTAAATTAAAACTTTATTGACTAAGTTTTTTCTCCAGACAATGTGATTTGATGAACTATGGTGGCATTCATGCAGTCAATGAGTTTGGCAATGATTTTTAATAGAGAACGTCAAACAACTTAGTAAAACATGTTATATAAACCTATAAATCTGTGTTGTTGCAAAAGGAAACCAAGGCTACGTTTCTGGTTGAACTGTGTTGAATTAGAAGGCACTGTGGTTGACAAAGAACATAAAAACTGGTATCTTTCCATAGTAAATATTTCAAATAAATTAGAATTGTCCTCACTTGCATCCTGACAAAACATTATGTGCAAATATCAAAAGTCTCATGAAGGAATGAATGATGAGAATTGAACCAAACCATAATATTTAGTTGAGCTGGTTTGCAAGTGAACAACAAGCAAAAACATCCTTAATTACTCTAAAACCAATGTAGGCACGTATTATTAGTACAGCTCAAAGCAGTGTGTGTAAGGGTCCATTCACACAGTCAACTAGGGTTGCAGTTATCAAGCATCTCTTTTCACATCTTAGCTCTGTCCTTGATGTGATCTGTGAAGTTATTATATAATAACTGCAGACCTACAGGGTGCACATGGATGAATAAACTGTTCCCCAATCTCTCACATTATTGTCAGTCTAGCATTCCCCTCTCCCTCCCCACCCCAACCCCACTTCCTTTGCTACCATCTGTATTATTCAAGCATAAATTACAACAGATAAAAGAAATGGACTAGGAGAGCTAGAAGTTTCATTTCTTCTTTTTTTGAAAAAAAACAAAGAAAGAAATTAATTCTTAACTGCAGAAGTCTGCAACTTTGAGTGTCTTAGTCATAAATCCTTATACAGACAAAATGGAAGTGAAATATGATTATTTCAAGGGTTGCCAGGACTTGATTCTTATGATGGTATTCATATTTTATATGTATAAAAAAACAAAACATCTGCTATAGGAAATATGAAAACAAGATTGAAGTTGTTGATATGAATCTTGCTTGCACTGCTGCAATCGTTTCATGTAAACATCATAGTTACCCATAATATCCCAAAACATTTAAGCATTTTGTGTGCACATTGGAGTGAGTTTATAATCTATGAATGCCTCTGCAATTCCATGTCTTTAAAAATAATATACAAATAAACAAGTGATGTGGATATGGTAATGAACACCCAAAGCTCTCAATTATCCAGGAGCTTTCCATTCACATTATTTTTGTGTGGTTGTAAAATCAGTTTGTGCATATTGAAGTAACCGAGATGGTCCCTATCCACAGGATATTGGTATGAGAGTTGGGATATATAGAACAGAATCAGTACATCTACCAATGCACTACAACTGTCAGTAAAATTAGTGGAAACATTCTCAGTGCTTTCAGAATTCTGGTTTAAAATCTAGTGGTTGCAATTCCAGTGACAATAGTTGAAATCCCACTACTTTCAGTAAGGTTTAGCTATTGACAGGCTTGCTGTCTGTGGTTAAAAGTATGAAACCACACTGCATCCTTGTTCAGATTCACAGAGAAGTTATATGCAATCAGTAGGATCTGACAGTAGTGGTCAATTTCAACCAAAGATTGCTGTATCTGAAGCATAAGGAGCAAATGTTCAAGGCATATTGGGTGGGCCTTGTCTGGAATGGGAATTGTGCAATTCCAGGGAAACATACTATAATAGCAGGAGTGTACAGACCAGGCACGGGCAAACTTTGGCCCTCTCGGTGTTTTGTACTTCAACTTCCAGACATCCCAGCTAGCTTACCGGCTGTTAGGAATTGTGGAAGTCCAAAACACCTGGAGGTCCAAAGTTGGCTCATGCCAGATATAGACACTGAAAAGTTCATGCCAGTAAAATTTCCTTCAAAGTGCACTTGTTAACAATGGAATGTTATTTTTTTAAAAAAAAGTTCAAAAATCCAACTTGCAACATGTTAGTTGCTTAATAAATGAATACCATCGTCATTTCATCCTGGCCCCCAAATTAACTCAATTTAACATTTGTTTTTAGCATAACAAAAACAAAACTCTTTAGGAAAAGAATCAGTATATTATAGACACAAAAGTCCAGACATTTTATAATCTTTCTAAAACATAACAAAAAACCAACCCACTACTTTAGCATTGACTAAGGTTTTTTTTAAAAGAGCATTAAACATTTTTAAATCAGCTACTTTAAATACCAAGACGTGCTGCCCTTCCCCACACCACCCCAACTTCCCACTTTTTTAAAAAATCCAAGTTTTAAAAAAATGTTTGTTAAAATCTCCAGATTGAGATTGTTAAAGTACCATCTCCAATGGAACCGCATGAACAGCATGTCTGCATATTCTAATGCATTTCATAGCATAGTTGTGTTAAGTAACCCTCTTGCAGCCTGAGAGGGCTAGATTTCCAGGTCATCAGGTCGAGGTCGGCTGCTGGCTCGACTGCTGGCTCTGCTTGGAGGCCTTTGGTCCACAACTGTGAGAGGCTGTAGCTCATGTCCTATTTTTTTTGTGTTCTCAGGCTCCTCTGCAAATTCGAAGTTCTGGGCGTGTGAGTTGGAGATTGTGCTCCCAGCTTGTCCAATCCTGTTCTGCTCTGCACTGTAATTTGCCCAGTTTTGTTCACTAGCTTGCTTATTGTAGTTACGACAAGAAGAGGTATTGTTCCTGTCTCCAGTGACGAGCTTGTACCCGGGTGGAGACATGGGTGACAATGGGGCGGTTGGAGAGGAACAACCATTAAAGTAGGCATATTTAGGGGACCCGCATTCCTTGGAAGGACTCAAGCCGCTGTTGGGAGAGAATGGGTCGTTTTTTGTCTTCATGCGATCCTTAATGCTCTTGAGGACAACGTAAAAAATTTCGATGACATTCAAAGTGAGAGATATTATTGAAACCACCAGCATGAAGATAATGAAGATGGTTTTCTCTGTGGGACGTGAAAGGAAGCAATCCACTTTGTGTGGGCATGGCACGCGTTCACACTCATAAATGGCTTGCAGGGTGAACCCATAGATGTACCACTGGATGAGCACAAAAGCCACTTCAAAAAAAGATTTGAAGATAATACTGATAATGTAAGTGCGGAGCAGTCCCCCACGCATTTTGACTTTGCCATGTTCTTCAATCCCATACTTGAACTTCTTTATTTCTATTTGTTTAAGGTGAATATCTACGTTAACCCCCTCACTTTGAACTACCTTCAGTTCTTCTTCTTTTCGGTTCAGCTTCTCTTCTTTACGCATCACGTAGAAGACATGTGCCAAGTACATGAGTGTGGGCACTGACACAAAAATAAACTGAAGAACCCAGAAGCGCACATGAGAGATTGGGAAGGACTTGTCATAGCAGACGTTTTCACAACCAGGCTGTTGGGTGTTGCACCGGAATGCCGACTGCTCATCACCCCAGGCAGACTCCACAGCCGTTCCCAATAGCAAGATTCGGAAAATGAAAAGTACAGATAACCACACCTTTCCTCCTGCAGTGGAGTAGGCTTGGACCTTGTCAAGGAGCCTTCCCAGAGCACTCCAGTCACCCATCTTCACTGCCTGCTATCTATAAAAGAACAACAACAATAAAGAGTTAAAATATGGCTTAGAAAGCGTTGGAAGAGGTATCACATCACTGGGTTCCAGAAGACATTTGCGTTTATTCATACAAGGTTATTTTAATGCCCTTAGTCATTCAAATATATGATCCCATTGTTAAGCGCTAATAGTTGGTCTTAATATCAGTATGAGAATTAGAGAATTGGTTTTTAGCTGTATTGTCGAAGGTTTTAATGGCCAGAATCACTGGGTTGCTGAAAGTGTTTGTGAGGTGACCTCACAACCTCTGAGGATGCCTGCCATACATGAAGGTGAAACTTCAGGAGAGAATGGTTCTGGAACATGGCCATACAGCCCAAAAAATGTACAGCAACCCAGGACATTTGCTGCTTGACAGTTTTACATACCGTCAAATCTCCTCTTACATGGGGGATCAAGGCAAAAAATAAACCTGTGATATTCTGCATGCCAAGTGTGTGCTCCACCACCATGTTATAGCCTTTAAGACTCACTGTGAAGACTTGGATGGGTTGTGAGTTCCGCCAAAGAATGTGTGCTACTACAAAGCAGTAGAATATGTTCTTTTTTTTGACATTATTGTATATTGCTAATTTCTCTCCCTGGTAACTAGATGGTGATAAACAGGGACTTGATTCAAAGTGGGGTTTAAAGGAGTTCCACCGGCAAATGCTTGAAAAATCCTCCTTTCTGATGTGACCTTTGGTACACCCCAAAAAACTGCTCTGTGAGGTTTAGTGCACATTGGAATATCATGGGAGGTTGTACTGAAAGCTGGAATGGAAAGGTGAAAATTGTTTCCCCATCTTCTTCCAGGAATTTTTTTTGCTAAATCGAGGTTTCTCCTATGTATCCAACCCCATAAGTTAAGTGACTCCCCCCACCATCCTCTTCATCCAGTGAATAGAGATGTCAGACTGCTGTTTCAAGTCCTGAATGTTAGTTTCTCCCAGTGTATAGTGTCATTTTGTACATGAGGGGTTAAAATAAAAGATATCCCTAAGTGGAAACCCAGTGTACAGAAATACCTAGTCAATTTTAAACCATGGGAACTGAAGAAGAGATTTCTGAAACTGGTCTTTGAAAAACCTCCTTTCTCTGCATTGGATCTGAGAAAGAACCATTCATTACTCTCTCTCAAATAATAACTTCTTGATTTCATTAACTGGCTTACTGATGATTTTAAAATATCCCATTATCAGACTTCCTTCCAGGCTCAATGGATTTCTTTACAGTATAAAATTATTTCAGATTGAAAGTACGATTAAAAACAAAGGAGGTGTTATTCATGGAAAATTTTCAATTATTTGTTTTTAATTACATTCTTCTCTGGTCTGTTAATGCAGGAAGACATATTCCAAGTTTTTTCTGTTTAATTCCATGTTAGCAATATTTCTTTTCAATTTATCATAATTTTTTACATTTGTTTCAGCAGGCAAAATAGTGTTATTATTTCCCAAGGCTGTATTTATTTGAGAAGCAAGTGTTCCTTGCATGAACTACTCAGGCAGTTCTAAGAAAAATATCTTTCAACAAAATCATTTACTTCTCACTTTCTTAGGGCTCTGCCAATGCCTAGCCAGAGAGGTGTTAATGAGATACAGCTTTCATGACATTGGGAATAATAGTCCTTTCTCTGGGCAATATATGTCAAGCTTTGATTGATATTTTTATTTCTTGACAATGAACTAATAAACAAAGTCTGCACTGTTGGACTTACAATACTTATTAAGACAACATTTTTCTGCCCAATGCCCTTCAGAAGTGATGGGACCACAATATCGCTTATCTCCAGCCACCATACGCTCTTGGTTGCTCCAGCTGGCAATGACGTGACAAATCAAAAGGGTGCCAAATTGGAGAAGACTATACCAGTGCTTCATTGGACATTGTGAGATACTTCCAATTAAACATGGTGTTGCATGTAGAGTGCCGTTGTGCCCTGTTGTACAGATGACAATTCCCAGTTTCCACGACTATCAGAGGACAGGCAATCCTTTATCTATATCCTATATCCAATATCCCTCAAGTCCAGTTTAATCTAAAGAGACACCAGAAGCTAGGATAGAAGTGGCATGGAAATTGTCCATTAAGAGTGAATATTTCAACAGCAGACTGAGCTGGAACAGAGGTTAGTAATGTCTTTGGTGTATTGAGCTATGTTTATTGCTCTCGACCTTTCAAATATAGCTATCAAAAACTGTGCTAGGTACAGCAAGTATTCTGATTTAGAGCGCTTTTAAGCTCCTAATGTTGCTTATTTTCAAGACAGTTCAATTGAGTTTGATGGAACTACAATGTAGTTTGTGGGTTTAGAAATTTTCTAAGAATACCAGTCTGAAATGTTTTCACCACTAGCATTTAGATAACTTGAAAGTCTTTTTCCAAATCAAAAAGTGACAATTCTCAAAAGTGTAAGGATCCCATCTTCCCCACTCCCAACCCTCATACAGTATTGAATGGGAATAAATGTTAAAACCTGATCTCACTTATGATGTTATCTATGATGGTGGCATGCCATGGCTGAGATGCTGACATAAAGTCATGGCTTGCATCACATTGCTGACTTTGCACCTGGCATCTCCTAGTATCTCCTAGCCTGTCTTCTCACAGCAAGCTGTGAATCAGCCTCTAACATAGTTCATACAGGAACCTAAGCATCTTGTATGCCTCTTGTGTTGTGCATGAAGATTCACTAAGCAGGACAGTTAACAGACGATATCCAACAGTTTCACCATTTTTACATTTGCTTCCAAATTATAGAAAAGAGATCAACAAACTTTTACATCTTGTGAACAGTCACTCAGAATCAGGGGCGGCTCAACCCATTACGCAAAGTAAGCATTTGCAGTATAGTTGATTTTGCCCAGAGCACTCTTGAGGTGCTCTTGGGGGAAAATAGACCTTGACATATGCGAGTTGTAGTTACTGGGATGTATAGTTCACCTACAATCAAAGAGCATTCTGAACTCCACCAATGATGGAATTGAGCCAAATATGGCACACAGAACTCCCACGAGGAACAGAAAATATATATCAGTTATTGGTTGTGGGGGGGCACCAAAATACTGTTTGCTTACCATTGAAAATTACTTAGGGCCGCCTCTGCTCAGAATACACCTCTGACAGTGTAATCCTGTTTGGATTTACTTTGAGTTCAACAAGACAGAATTTTCAGAAAGTAAGTGTAGGATTGCAACCTGAGTTAGTAACAATAAACTCACTTACTAGGGAGTAAAATCCACTAAATGTTACAGAATTCATTTCTGAGTAGGAACAGATGGGATGGTTCATGTTGACTGGAGGGAGGGAGACGCTAGGAGATTTTTAAAAGTTCTAAGCCTCAGGCTTGTTTTGAAGTGATTTCTAGGACAAGCTAAAGAACCTAGCTATTTCCGGATAAATGCATTGACAGCATTGACACTCCACACCAATGCATGACTGGAGATCATCTTAGCATAGCAAAGTGGTGTTCCATGTTTTTATCCGGCAGTATTTTTCCAGGGGAGAAGATTTCAATGGATTTCTAATGCACTCGTCTCTGAACAGAATCTTGCCATGCTTTTGGTAGATTGCTATGGCTCTTAGCCAGACATGCAGGACATATCTGTCGCATTTTTATTTTCTGTGCTGCAATCCTGCTTTCTTCTTGCATGAGCCCTGTACTATTCTCTTTCAGATGACAGTAATTCTGTGGGGACCAGCTCAAACAGCTTTGGATAGCATGATCCTAAACAACTAGCTGAGTGTGGTCACTTTTTCACTTGGCCAGCAGTGCAGGTTTATCACATGCATTAGGAAGGTTGCCAAAGGAAGTTAGGGAGGCTATAGCTGTGCTACCATAGTGTGCAGTGCTCCTGCATATTTTTCCCCTTCGGAGACAACAATGTGCCCTCAGCCAAGGAAGGGAAGGGATGGTACATTCAGCTAGCTATGAGGGATCATCGCATTTGGAACACTGTGCACAAAAAATACATTAAGCACGTGCTTAAACAGCAACTCCTGTCTGAAAATGGACTTTACTGTCTTTCCTGAAAAAGAGTGCATGTCATAGAAAGAAAATGATGATGGCATTACTTGGTTAGCATTTTCAATGACCATATGCAGGAAAAATTTGATCTTAGAAGCCACAGCTTGGAAAGTAGAATACTTTTTAAACGTAAGCTGGGTGATGTGTCATATCATGTGGCTCATGTTTTCCAGGACACATAAGTCTGCTTCAGTGTTTTCAGTCCCTAGGCCGATGACTGAGAGCCATGTCAGAGGGCCACGGGGGAAGCATTCGCCATGGCTCTGTGGTAATGTGGTATGGAGCCTGCACACAGCTGTAAAAATAGCTCTTTAGTTCACATAAAAACCTACTCAAAACCTGTGAAATTATACTTTAAGGCCTTTCTGGCTGCATTCAAACAACTGGCAGGATGCACACACATGTAACAAATGCACAACTGGTACTGCCCAGTTGTGTCAATCTACAAGACTATTTTATCCAGCCTGTGATGACGGGGGATGATAGGGGCTGCTGTTTAGAATGTCTGGAGGATGGCAGCAAGACATAACCCAAATTTACATAAAGACTTATTATATTTTATGGTGATTATTTTAGGGTTGAGACTAAGTTTGGTATGGAAGGGATGTCATGAGCTGAAAAAGGTATCTAGGAAATCCACCTAGAATTTTTAAAAGACATCTTCGCTTATAGAATTCCCTAGTTCATTTTTTAAGAAAAAAAGTCCAAGCGCCTAGCTTTTCCTGCTGTCTGATAAGGCTGCAAATCCAATCTCTATCTATACCAGAAAATACACAAATATATGTGGCCAACGCAGATTTAGTTTTCTCTATTGGTTAATAGAATTAGACCCACTTTGAGAAGAGCTTGGTTCCAATCACACTTCATCTATGAAGCTCGTTGGTTGAGTTTGGGCCAGTCACCATCTCTCAGCCTAACCTGACAATTCTGTTTAGAGGACAAAGTGGGAGCTTGATCAC